ATGTACGCTTACCTATCAGAAGTGTCATACTACAGTAAACCTTTGATCCAGCTGTTGAATTTTTGCATTTGTTATTTTAAAAAGCCAGTATAAAAGGCATCATTATCATTTGCCCTGGATCTTCCTGGACAATGTCAGGATTTAGAACACAGTCTGTGGTGTCCACATGCTAAAGGATACAGTACTCTTGGCATAGTGGCATGCAGTGTTGACAGCTGGAAAAATTATTAGGCTTAGGGGGTGCATAGGGGCTGTACACATCAATGGCTGTATGGAGCTATACATCTGGTATTGTTGTTATATTTTTGTAAACTCCTACATGTACATTTATTGATGTATTTGGGCGGTTCTACAAAGCACCTGCTTCCCTGAATTTTACGTGTACTGCCTCCATGTGCCCTTGTACATGAGGCCCTATTTTATCTTGCTTACACCTATCATATGGAGTTTTTATCCCACTGATACTAAAAATGGGACTTTACTCCCACTGCACCACATGGGGTTTATTCTTACTCCCACTTACATGAATGTAAAAAAACAAAAAACAAAGTGCTCAACCTCCTCCATTCAAAACAATTTCACTAAACACCAGTGCACAACCAAAGCTCCCGCCATCTATAAGTAAGGCCACTTCGACTGAAACGCTTTAGCATGTGTGTCATATCTGGTTTTAGGGCTTGTTGGCACCAGACCAGAAATTTTTTTTGTCTGGTCCAAAAATGCATCCCCATAGATTTCAATGGTTTTTCTGAGTATAGTTCACACCACTGTGTTTATTTACAGAGCTTTAAAAAAAAAAGTCCAGCATGTCACCTTTTTTTCTGGTCTGGAAATCACAAAAATGCTTGCAAACACACACGAAACGCACCTGAAAGCCAACTGAGACTAAAAAAATGCACATGACCGCATTTGCAGAAACGCATCCAAATCTGGTCTGGACGTGGTGTGAACAATCTCTTGTGCCTTGACTGAATAAAGAAGATTTGCATTGGATCCGAAACCTTGTGCAAACCTTTTTCTACCACACTGACATAAATGATAGGACTTTTTACTCCCACTTCTATTTTGTCTAAAACGTGGCAAAGCAATGGGAAAAGGTGTGACACTACAAGCCACACCCACTTTATTTCTCCCACCCACATTTGGCCACACCCAATATTTCTGGCAGGCGGTCTGTCTTGCACCTACTCTTTGTCCCTTCGAATTGTTTCCAAGTGTTGGCATTTACGTAATGGAAAAGTAGTGGTAAAGAAAAGCACTTTTAACCACTTGTGGACCACCCACTTTGTGCGTGTGTGTGCACGAACCACCTTTGTGATTGGTTATCACATGGTAATGTTTACATTATCAAGCCCTCCCCTCCCTCTTAAAACAGAGGCAGGGGATAGTACAGGAACTAATTAATTAATTAATCATTTATTTATTCCCGTTTAAAACAAGCTGCAGCAGCACAAGATAATAGTGTGTTCAAATGTTTCACCCCCTCTCCTGTGCAGTATACAGTATGTTAGCTCCATTGTATCTCAGCCCTGACCTAAATATTAAAACCCTTCACCTCCTCCATGTACATCTGCGCATTAACCCCTTCATCTCCATCCTCTGACTGTATGTGACATGCATTACCCCTTCCCTCTGTGTATGACCTGTACATTTAATGTATTTAGTGCACCAAAACTAAGATCCATGTTTTAGCCTGCGCAATACTCACACGTTTATTCATTTACAGAAGTGATTAAAAAAAAATTCAGATCACCTTTGGTGTCCACTTTCCAAAAAGGGGTCATTTTGGGGGGTTTCATACTGTCCTGCCATTTTTATTTGTTTTGTTTTCTAACAGAAAGTAAGAAAGAGATTGTACGTGTTTTTCAGATGCTATTTAACGTAGAATAAAAGTTTTTTTTTGGCATAAATCTACTCCTAATAAGCAGTAGATATATGCAGGGCCGTAGCAAGCGTGAGAGGAGTGAGGCATTCGCCTTGGACGCAGCTGTGAGGGGGCGCAGCCAGGGCCGGCCTGGCTGCGTCTCCTTGCCTCTGTTGCCATGGCAGCATATGGCAACAGGGATGACAGGCAGCCAACACAGCTCAGCCTCCTCCTCCGCCCCACGCCGGCTTTATCGCTCCTTCTGTGTAGGTCTGTGTGCGTGACAGAGCAGGTCAGGATAGAGAGCGGAGGGTTTGGTAAAGATCAGTGATATTTACTGATCCTCTGTGTGCAGCACAAACACTGGAGTGATCAGCTGATCACTCCAGTGTTTGTAAACAACTGGGGACACATAGTAGTGATATTACATATGTATTATTAACTACCCCCGGGCCGGCCGTAGTTAAAAAAGCGGCCGACCAGGAGCTCTCTAGATCAGAGACGCCCCCTCGAGCAGGAAATGCCCGATATTTAAAAACAGGAAGCGATGCCTGTAGAGCCGGCGGATCACTTGTATGGGGTAACGATCGGTGAACCCCCCTACGTGGCCCCCCTCCCGCTGTTGTCCTGCTGATCCCGGGCTCTGCTGTGCCCGGTGTGAGCCCGGGATCAGCATGGAGCCTGTGTCACAGGGGATTAGAGGGAGATCGTTACACGAGCTCCCTCCTGTCCCCTCTCCTCTCCAAGAATGCGGAAGTGTTGTATAATACATCACTTCCGCATTCTTGTGTCACTCTCCAGCTTCAGAAGCTGGAAAGAAGCTGATGGAGCAGATCTGTGCTTCATGAGCTTCTTTTGGGGGGTCCTAGGTGACATTAGGGGTCTTGGAGACCCCTGATGTCTCCATAAAGAGGACCTGTCACATATTTTGCTATCACATAGGGGGGTTTTATTAGCCCCCATATGTGATAGCAATAAAGTTTAGTGGAAAAAAAAAAGGCAAAAAAATTAAAGCCCCCCCCCAAAATGTAAAGTTACACATAAAAAAAGAATTTTAAAAAAAACATTTTTTAAAGTCCCTACCAATACATACACGCATGCAAACATGCGTCGGGGGCGCATACGTGCAAAAAAGACGATTGCGCCCATTACGCCGCACATGTTACATATCGCCGCAAACGCCGGAGTGAGAGCAATAAGTCTAGGGCCATCAATCACTGATAACACTAAACTGATGAGAGGTAAAAGCTTTTAAAGGGTCGCCCATGGCCAATTTTGGGTATGGTAGTTTTCCTGCGATTTCGCGGGTGCGCGCAATTTTAAAGTGACATGTTTGGTGTCTTATTTACCCGACCTGACCCGGTCTTTTATATTTTACCATAAAACTGGGTAATAATAAATGTTTCCTAACATAATGTAAAAAAAAACGATTTTTTTTCAAAAATTTTCAGTAATTTTTCCTAATTATAGTAAAAAAATAAAACCCGTAGTGGTGATTAAATACCACCAAAATAAAGCTCTATGTGTCCCCAAAAAATTGTATAAAATTAATTTCAGTACAGCCACAGTGCTGAATACTGAAAAATGGCCTGACCAGGAAGGGGGTCTAAACACCTGGGGGTTGATTTACTAACCTTATAAACACGCCACGAACAAGTATACACCTCTGTAGTGTGTTCCCTCCCTGTATGATCTATTGATGGAATCTAGACACCTTTGTAGTGTGTACACACCCAGCAGGTGTGTTGTGCAAAGCCCTGCATGATGTTGTGTAAATTATCTCTACATTGTGTTGCTTGCGTTGATGAATGCAGGAATGTAAATGCATGAGCTAACCATTTTTGTCTAAACTGTGAAGCAGCATTATATATGCATCATGTGCATGATTTTTCCATATATGGCATTAGTGGAAATATGCTTTTAGAGACTTTTTGGTTGATAAATACGTTTTGCTGTGTAAAAATCACACGCACCTAGTGCGTGCGTTTAGGTTAGTAAATCACCCCCTGGTCTTCAAGCAGTTAAACATGTGCAAAGGCTAAAAAAAAATTCAGACTAAATGAACGGAAACTAAAAACTTTTTCATTAGTTCCGTCAAACGATACAAATTTTTATGCTATTTTGGATTTGCCCACCGGAGCGGTCTGCACATGCACGCCCCCATCTAGTTTTTTGTTCTTACCTCAGGCGCCAAAGGAGCTAGCTACAGCTCTGGATATAAGCCCTAACATGAAAAAAAACAAAACTTACATGCGTCAGTGCTGCTCGCTTCCGCTGCAGAAGTCCCAGCTCCCAAACGTTGTGAAGAACAAAGTGTGGGCGGGCACATGCGCAGTATAGATCGTCAGAGGAAATTACTGCTGACACTGAATGGACGCAGCCAGGCAGCGCACACACAAACAACAGACTCCGTGGGACCCGAGGAGTCTGCGCTGAATCAGAGAACAGCACCAGCACTGGAAGGACTTTGGAAAACGAGTGGAAGGAAGAAGCTGTTTGGATCAAGAGGCTTCACACAAGGTAAGTCCTTAAAGCAGTATTGGGGGGGAGGAAGCTTTAACATCACTTTGTCTATTGGGGACAAAACCCATGGCTCTACTACTTGGGCACTATTCCAAGCGACACTACTCTCAGGTGTGAACAGGCACCATTTATTATAATGGAAATCCTGGTGTCAAGCATTGACGTTTCAAATCATGTTTGAAATTGCATATGTGTGACCAGCACCCTTAACTATAATGAAAACTGCGTTGAAGCTCTTCTGGTCATGCTTCAAATCCCTCTGCTGTGACCGGCCGGATTATTGTACTATAAGGTGTCCTTCTCTCCTAGTTTAGGAACATTTGGTAGGTAAACTATAAGTATACACTAACTTCCTCTGCAGTTACTCACTGGATAATGTTTTGTTTGATGACACACATGGACTACTACCGTCCCCTCATTATTGAGGACGATTGAAGAGGGATGAGCATCTTTAAAACATTTTGGCGGCGGCAGCAGCCCGGCACCTTTATCTGCTGGCAGTCAGATGATAGCACATCAATGGCCGTCACGTGCCAGCGCAGTGTCTGATCGATCGCCCCGCCCACCTTGACTTAACTCCTGCGCTTCCAAAGGCTTACGATATTAGCCGGGAGTTAAGTGGTGTATTGAGCGGGCGGAGAGTGGACCGGGGCGTGGAAGAGAACACCCTCTATCAATCTGACCCTTCTCTTCCGAGTTGTTTCGCCTAGTGACAGGGAGTGGGGTTCAGGACAGGTATTGGCACCGCCACCTCTTCCTGCCGGACAGGATGCCCACTAACTTCACTGTGGTTCCTGTAGAGCAGCAGGACGGCGCTGCGGAGACTGAGTACGGGGCAGCCGGACAAGAGGAGGCTCTCGGCAGCAGACAGGGGAGTCACAGTGAGGAGTCTTTGTTGGGTAAGTCCTCGAGAAGCAGCTGTGTGTGTGTGAGAGAGAGGTGACAGACGGCGGTGTCCCCCAGGAGTACCTGTGACTACACCATTCACCTGTGGTATTTGTACGTCAACGAGCGACTCCACCCATACAATGTTGTTTCTGTTGTCAGGTCTGAGCAGAGTTTATAGGTCGTGTGATTGCTCAAATGTACATTGTGTAGATTCTTGTTTAGTGACTGTGTTAAAGTGTAATGTTAATTGTGATCTATAGCAGCATACTATGGGACTAACCACGTTTGCTGCCTGCACTGCAGCCTGTTACTTCTTTGCAATCTTCATTTGCAGTTTTTCTGTACTCCATTACCATCTTAAGGGCAAAGGGTTAACTGCCTTGCAGGGTCCAATGGAGCCACCCTTGCGTACCTGAATTAGCATGCGCTTTGTTCTCGCAGTGCTAGGTGTGAGGGTGCCATGTGCTGCGACTAAGGTGTGCGTACTTTGCACCCGGAAAGGTGCGTTTTATCAAAGGGGAAGAAGGACTGTAAGGCCCCATTCACACCAGGGCAGAAGCGTTTCAGCGCAATTTCTAAAAGGGTGTTTTTAATCACATTTCAGTGCTGAAACAATAAAAAATGGCCAAAAACGTGCTAATCAGTGCGTTTCCATTGCAATTTATATTGAAAATGTGCTGATCAGCACCAAAAAAATAGCTCGGGAAGCATTTTGGGCGGCAGGCAGTACGCGTGGAGCCGTGCGATTGCATGAACGGTCCCCATAAGAATGTATGGGATTGGTTATGTCGGCGGTTCATGACCGAATCGCTCCGGGTGTGAACAGGGTCTAAAGCTGGTGTGTGTGTGTGGCCCAGGGACCTGCATGTGCAGTGGGACAGAGCACTCCTGATGTGAGCGGTCATGTGACCCTTAGGCTCAATTCCCGCCTTTTTTTTGTTTTTTTTGTTAGAACTTTATTAAAATGTCACAAGTGACATTTCGTTCAGTTCGACGAGCACAGCGGGGTACAAGGCAGTTGTAACACATTGCACCCTGCTGCGTTGAAAAAAAAAGTAAGGCATGCCTTACTTTTTTCAGTGCACACCACTATTCCTACCACAACCCAGTGGTGTGAATGGGCACCATTCCTAAAGAGACAAATTTCCTTGTCTTGTGTTGGGGCTGCGATCGAAACAGACAGCACAGCCCTAACACAGATAGCGTGAATCGGTCCTTGCAGTGCGTTCTTCCCATTCATAAGGAGTAACTGCCAAACAAAGGTAACAGACCTGGAATATTTTTTAAACATAATGGATGCTGTAGGTTGTGTACGTGAATACTTCCAAATAATGTTTTTGACAAGACATTTTTGACATATTAGTTGTACGCATTGAGGTAAAGAAGGGAATCCACACACGAGTTTTGTGGTGTAAATATTGGCGCATTTTCCATTCATCAATGTTATAAGACAATGTCATGTTGCACCGGCACCAATAACGTTAAACCTGCCATTAAATAGATTTTATAAAAGGTCTGATTGTGTGCCCCATAATAAAGAAGTACGTGCAAAAATGTTTAAAGGAGAACTATGAGACGAGTGAAAATCCTCCATAGTGCGAGCCGACGTGTGACAATGAAACTGCCACACGTCGGCTCAATAGATCGGGAAGTGAGCGAACACATACTGTCACTCGCTCACTTCTCGATCATCTCGCTGCAGAGAGCAGTGACTGTCAGTCACGGCTCCCTGCAGGGATTCCTCCCCTCTCCTCCGGCGCTGAGTGGAGGAGCGGACGGGGCGGGTACGGCTGGCTCTGCCTCTAAATAGGCAGAGCCCGCTGTCACTCATGCAGCTGGGTGGAACGATGGGGAAAAACACTTACCCCATAGTTCTCTTTTTAAAGCCTATATCTGAATATGAAGAAAAAGGAACTCCCCTTGCAGTGGGTCTACCCCGTACTACAAGGGTTAACTATTTGTTTTTGTCTAGTGCAGGGGTGGACAAATTAATTTGGAAATCAGGAGCCAATACAGGAACTAGTGTGATTTTGGGTTGTTTTTTTTTTTTCCAGGCGTTCGCTCCATTGACCAGGGATATACTATACCGATACTAGTATTGGTGCCAATAGTGAGCATTTGGGAGAGTACTCACTCAAATGCTCTGATACTTACAGCGATGCTGGAACTTCTGGTCATAGGGAGATTCCCTTTAAACCGGCAGTGTCCCGCAAGGGAGCAAGGAGCTGGCTTCCTGGCCAACCAGGAAGCCGGGTGGCAGGTCATGACCTGCCTCCCAGCTTCCTGATTAGCTAGGAAGTCGACTTCACACTGCGAGACAGCTTGGCTTCCTGACCAGTCAGATAGCCGCACGGCATTCAATAGAACACCGGCTTCCCAGGTTCTTAGGAATTACCCGGACCAATGCTACCCCAGGATTGGTATTCGGTATCGGCGAATAACGGAAAAAAAAATATCTGTACTCAATGCCAAAAAAACGGTATCCTTTACAATAACCAGGTAGCATTGGCTATCTGGTTCCTGGGATTTGTCCATCCCTTGTCTAAGGGATTCTCTAAAGCTCAACTCCTGGGGGGAAAAACTACCCCTTGTAGTAGGGCTGCCCCTGTACTTTAATGGGTTAAGTGCTGGTTTATGCCTAAGGGACAGGAAAAAGCCAATTTAGCAGCTTCTGGGCTGCTTGACTGGTCCCCGCTGCCACTTCTCCCCTTTATTCCAGCGGTCTAAGGACTACTGATGACATCCCCTCTAATGCAGGTTCTGTGGATATGCATTAGATGCGAGGACACCAAGGGACATGCCGGAGCAGAGGAGGTGATAGAGGTGAGCACTGACCGCTGTGGGAGCGGGATCAGGTAAGTAAAAGTGCGACAAATTAACAAATGGGCATGCACCACTTTCATTAAAGGAGAACTATGGGGTTAAGGCTTTCCCCCATAGTTCTCCTTAGGGTAATGGGAGGACACAAACTAGCGTTCTCCCGTCACCCTAGGCTCAGTATACCACGAGCTGCGTATACTGTTGTAAATCAATGATCCATTTTAATGGCACATTGCCATCCAATACAAGCGCTTTCGGGGCCGCAAAGGGTCCCCTTCATCAGGCTCAGAATGACACATCAGTAACAGATACATCAACCTTATATAGACATCAGACAGTGTGAATAAGAATAAACCACTCCCATACACAAAAATGACCTCACTGAATCCGTTCCCGCCATAACTGATTCAAATCTAAAATTACCTCGACTGTTCCAGGTGCACCAAGGCGTGCGGAAAGACCGGGCAGTTGTTCGGCCGGAGCGGGTGGTTGCCAAGGAGATGGGACGCTTTTCACGGCCGTGAGCGCCGCCCATCTCTAGTGCGCATGTCAATCGTACGGGGCACAAGGCGGCTTCCGGCTTGCGCTCCATCGTCGCTGCACAACGGCCTGCGCATTCGCGTCACGTATCTAGGCACAAGGAGGGCTGAGCTGCGAACTTACACCGCCTTCTCAGTCAGAGGCGGAACGTATCAAATTGCTGGCTTGCGCTTCAGCGATTAGCATGAGCTATTAGCATATATTCACTCCCATCATTGCCATAATAGACCCCAAAATTAATTGCCGGAGTATCCCCAAGGAAAGGGAAGGTACTCATGAACAGGTGTCATGTTATTTTGATCTGTATGTAACAACAGTATATCTAGGTATAAATTAGACATAGCGCTGTTCGCCTAGAACAATTAAAGGTCAGTAACATAGTTGAGGACCCTATAATGCTCTTTGCCCTAAGACTTGACAAAGAGGTTGTGCCTCGAAACGCGTAGTCATCACGATACAGCGAGCCCGTCTGTGCACAGCGTCTACTTTGCCCATCGATTTGACTCCACTACACACGCACCGAACACAGCCGCTCGCGGTCCCGGTTCCACAACCGCCGCGGTCCTTCCCCCCTCAGCCGCCGTGGCCCGGCCTGGCCAGCCGTGCACGCGTGCCGCTAGGTAACTTCACAGCGCTCCCTCATCCATCCAGTGCTGCAGTATTTTGTTCTTGGACTTCCTCTGTACACCGTTCCTTGTTTCACCATCCTCGACACATTTGCAGACTTCCAACTGTAAGTCATATATATTTGTTCCTTCTCTCATGAATAGATGCCATTCAATATCAGGTAGTAGCGCTCTTTCTTGTGTTTTTCTGTTTACCCTATAATGCTCGACACCTATATCGACGGTTATCAATTGGTCCCGGTCAAAAAAATCTTTATACCTAGATATACTGTTGTTACATACCGATCAAAATAACATGACACCTGTTCATGAGTACCTTCCCTTTCCTTGGGGATACTCCGGCAATTAATTTTGGGGTCTATTATGGCAATGATGGGAGTGAATATATGCTAATAGCTCCTGCGTTTTAATGTGTAGGCTCCATCTTTCTTTTGCATTTAATTTGACAATGATGGATGCTCAATGAGTATAGAATTTGTGTCCACATGCAGAATGAGCTAGGTGCATTGTTAACCTTTATTGTCATAGGGTTCATGCATGGTTTTTGTTTTATTTTTATTCTTGTTTTGCCACTGAATCCGTTCTGCCATTTGGCTCAATCTCGTCTGCTCCTGACAACCTTTAATTTAATTTCACCCACTGGCAGCACCTGGTACTTCATGACAGTAAGAGGTTCCCCCTTTTTTTAACAAGTGAACACTGCGCAGACACTACCCCGTCGCTGAAGCGCAAGCCAGCAATGTGATACGTTCCGCCTCTGACTGAGAAGGCGGTGTCAGTTCGCAGCTCAGCCCTCCTCCTTGTGCCTAGATACGTGACGCGCATGCGCAGGCCGTTGCGCAGCGACGATGGAACGCAAGCCGGAAGCCGCCTTGCGCCCCATACGATTGACATGCGCACTAGAGATGGGCGGCGCTCACGGCCGTGAAAAGCGCCCCATCTCCTTGGCAACCACCCGCTCCGGCCGAACAACGGCCCGGTCTTTCCGCGCGCCTCGGTGCACCTGGAACAGTCGAGGTCATTTT